GATTAGATCTGGGGATTTCTATCTCAAATGCAAGATTCACAAGTGTTGCTGCCACTACTACTCTGAATGGCTTCTGCAGTCCCAGAAGAAAAGGAGAAGGTTAGCTTTATGCAGAGTCTAAGTATTGTAATCTCTGAGATATATAAAAAATACTTTCCCCTGCCCACTGAAATAATGACTAAAATTCTACTTAAGGGTTCTTTGATTCCCTTTAAAAATACAGATTCTTTTGGAAGAAGTAACATTTTCCACCAGTGTCAGACATTTATACCTTACTATGAATGAGTATGAATTATTTTCCTAAGTTATGATAAGAAGCTAAGGATCAACAAGCATTTATTAAGTAGGATGGAAGCTTGAAGTTGCCAGCATCCAAGGAGAGGAAAGGGAAGGGGAAAGGCATAAGTATTTATATAGTGCCTACCATGTGCCAGGCACTCTGCTAAGTCCTTTTTTATAAATGTTATATGAGTAGACTCCCTTTCCTTCCCCCTTCTCATACTAACACTTTAAATACATAAAATAAAATATATAGTATCACAAAGGAAACCAATTATACTGAGCTATAGTTATCCAAAAAAATTAAATTCATTGATCCCAGGTTAAGAACTCTTGGGCTAAATCCGCTCATAGAGAAAATGGTCCTCCTAGTCTCTCATGATTCCCTGGGTCATAAAGAGTTCTGGTCACACAGAGAATCAGTAGCAACAGGGGGATCACTATATCCCCAACTAGGCCATTTTTTTATTGAGGTCTGATCCTCAATACAATTGCACTCATTGCCCCAAGTTAGCTATACCTCTCCAAGTGTTCTAGTAAGGATATGAGCAAGGCTGAGCATAATGACAGCAAGCACCTGTATATGTATCCCAAGAGAATTTCTGGCTTCCATCACACAACTTAGCAGGTTCAGAAGTAAAGAAAACAAGGTGTCTAAAATTAAGTCACAATCCCTAAAGTGCCCTGACATGGGAGAGGAGAAATCAGAAGGGAAAGAGGAAGAAGATACAGGCAAATTCCACAGCCTTAGGTGTTCCCTACCTGCCTTCTATTTGAGAGAATCTCAGAGACAGGGGTTGTAGGGAAAGGAGAGAAGGAGGGAATTTGAGAGGCAGAGCTAGAACCCCACTGTGAGCAAAACAAACGCGTGTCAGTTACAGTGATATTTACTAACAATTTTGATTATTAAGCTTTTCTAAGTGAAAAATGAGGAGAAGAACCCCTAGCACTAGTCTAACTCCAGAGCCTGGAAGCGGCTACCTGGAAATGCAATATTGTCTCCCTGGCATCAAAAGTTTACTGGAAACACATTTCCTCCTCTGTGAATAGGACTTTCAAGGGAATCATCAGGCCAAGTCAACCTGTCAAATGGCACCATCCCCTAGGATAACTTGGGAGTTAAGTATTTTGGCAAGTCAAAGAAGGGGAAGAAAGTGAGAAAGGCCTTGAAAGAAGAGGAAAAAACAGCAGTTACAACAACCCAGGGCACACAAGAGGTGTACAATACATGTTTTGATGTTATTTACCCTACCATGCAAAACTAAATGGAAAATGAAAGAGCATCAGCTCTTATCAGATGAGAATTTTTTAAAAACCCAACATTTATCATCTTCCAGGCCAGACAGCATAGTTTTCTTTAATAGCCAGACCAGCACAGGATGACAAGTTCACACAACGGGGCACCAAACAGATTAGTGTGTTGGGGGTGGAATGGCTTGGCAGGAATGGAGAGACAGGAGGGGAAGGAATACATATTGTGCCAGGTAACTCAGCTGCAGGAGAAAGGAAGGACAAAAATGTTAATGTCACAATGGTTAAATGAGAGAAATCTCTAGGAGTTAATGAGGGTGAAGGTTTGGTGGGAGGAAGCCAGCTCTAAGGGATGATGCTACCTCCGAGGTCTGGCTAGTGTGATTTGCTGCCATGTTAGGTGAAATTACTAGTAACAGATTTAATTTCCTTCATATCACTTAATTCCTTCCTATTACAACAAGCAGAGAGCTAACCAGCAAAGGATGTGCGATTAAAGTCTCCAGCAGGATCATGTATGAAGGCCTGAGTCCTATGCTTGCTATCCAACCAAGTTGATCCAGCTTTGTTTCATGGAAAGAGCACTAGATTTGGAGTCTGGAGACCTATGTTTGAATCCCAGATGTGCTCCATACAATCCATATGACTTTGGGAAGTCCCTTTACTTCCCTGGGGTTCATCAGTTTCCTCCTATAAAATGAGAGAGTTGGTTCAAATCATCTTTAAGGTTCCTACCAGCTTGAAATCCTATGATTATGGTGCTGTGAACTTCTAGAATTGTTCCTCACTTTCTGTTATTCTTTTTTTTTTAGTCTGAAATTATTATTTTAAATAATCTGTTCCAATTGAGGAAATGCTGAAAAGAGCAGGGGTAGGGGAGAAAGGAGAGAGGACAAGAGAAGGGAGGGAGAGATAGAAGGAGGGGGAGAGGGAGAAGGAGAGGGAGGGTGGAAGGGAGAGAGGAGAGAGAGAGAGAGAGAGAGAGAGAGAGAGAGAGAGAGAGAGAGAGAGAGAGAGAGAGAGATGGAGTGTGTCCCACTTGTACTTTCCAAAGCTCTTTTCTTCCTCCTTCCTCCTTCCTAGCCATCTCCTTCACAATAATGAGTCACCATTTGGGAACTGTTTTTGTTTTTAATCTTCTCTTTGAATGTTCTCTATCAATCCATAAAATGAGAAATCAATGAACTCAGGGTCCATTCAACTCCCCTCCACTTTCAGTCTCCCACTCTCTGTCTTAGATATTGCTGGAACTAAAGCTTTATCTTCTGGTTTTGTTCCAGTTTTTCCCCAACACCTTAATGAAAATCAAAATACTCTATCAAAATACCAAGGTCTGCTCCCTCCAGACCTGTTTCTCCTTTTTGTCCTTTTAGTCTCAAGTACAGGGTGCAGGTATGCTGTGAATAAAATGTGGTAGGAAAGGGAAAGAGGAGATGGCGTTGTCCCTTCCACAGCCCAGCTCTTCATGCTCATTGCAGTCCCCATCTACACAAGTATTTGTATTTAAGGACTAGCAGGTTTTGTTTTGTTTACAGAATTTTGTTTACAGACAGATAACACGTGCAGAAGAGAGAACTGGTTGCATCTAGTAGAAGAATCAGGCAGCTGCCTTTTTTTTTTTAACCAGAACACTTAAGAGCTCCATTAAGAATTATTCATGCCCCACACAGCTTGTCTGCAGAGAGATGGGGAAAGACCTGTTGTTTGCGCTGAAAAAAACAAGGTGCACAAAGCTAGGTGGCATTTGACAGCAGAGGGGAAGAATGTTATCAAAACCTCTGCAGCCTGAGTGCCTTCTGGAGCAGGTGGTCAGAAATGAAAAATTTCCATCTTCAAACTCAGGGAAGAAATAAGGAGTGAAGAACATTTATCTGTACCCTCTCAAGACTCAAAGGTCAGCTGTGGGAATGGAGAGGTCAGGGTATCCAAATAAGCTGATGGCCTACTTATTATAGTGCCATGTTGGAATGAAGGAAGGAAAGGAAGGAAGTTAAAGACCAAAAAAAAAATTCATTTCTACTGAAAAGTTTGCCCTGAGGGGATCTAACTTCCTGGGAAGCAAACCTAGCATTTTCCTATGGTATGGCTGCAGGGAAAAGAACCACCAAGTTTTTCATAGGACAAAAGGTGAGCCTCAGAGAAAGTCGGGAACTAAGCTATCCATACAATCCAGAATGTCTGAGTGCATTGTTTTGAAGAATTGGTTATTTGGGATTTCTAGAATTTTTTCACCTGAGGGACAGTCTGAGGCAACATGGCCGGTTGGTTCTAGCGAGAAATAATTTCCTGAATAGAGTCAAGAATCATTTCTCAGATACCAGCCTTGTTTCTCAAGAGTAATAAGGTTCTCTGGACCAGGTATAGCTCCTCTCTCTGACTGGGACATGTCATTCTTATTTAATCTTTAATGATAATAATAGCTAGCATGTATATAGCTCTTTAAGGTTTGCAAAGCAAAAATACTTGCATATTTTATTTGCTTATTTGCATATTTTATCTCATTTGATTCTCACAAATCTGTGAGGTAAATGCTATCGTCATCTCCATTTTGCATTATGAAACTGAGGTTAGATGGATGACTTGCCCAGGGTCACGCACCTAGTAAGTGTGTGAGGCAGGATTTGAACTCAGGTTTTTCCTGACCCTAAGGTTCAGTGCTAAAGCACTCAAAGAATGTGTTTTGCCCTCCCTTGGAGGGGTGACCAAGGACAAGTTTGGAAAGAGCTCCAAAACTTGTTAGATGAAAATCAATTAAGCAACTTATTTTCCCTCCAAGAATTTTTTTTTTTGGTTTTTGTTGGTTCCCAAAGGAGCTGAGTATCTCTCCAAGGTTCTAATGTCCATCAGGTCACACAAAAGAGCCTGACAACCGGCTTTTCTCTGTATAAACCTCCCCAGAGTCAGAAAGCTCTCTCCCTTCACCGACTAAAATACATTGAGACAATCTGACAGCAGGGTGCAAGGGAAGAGACAGAAGTTTGAGAGGTCTGACTCAAGTTGAAGGTCACGGCAGTACCGGGAAGTTGGGCTACCTGGCAGGTGGAGAGACAGATCGTGACAGAAAGAAAGAGAGAAAAAGCATATAATGGAGAATTCAGGCAGATGGTTCAGAACCCGAAGTCCCAGTGGGGATGTACAAAAAGAAAGGACCACTTACAAAAGTCCCCTCCCTCCCTGTTCCACCCCTTACCCAATTAACCTGAATCTACAGTCCAATACGAGCCAGAAGCATTCCAACAGATCTGAGAGAAAGCTCATTTGGAAAGGTGTAAACAAAGGGCTAGCACAGAAGTTTCCCAGATTCTCACCTCGTTTTCTTCCGAACAAAAGGCTCGGATTTCAAACCTAGATCACCTTTCTTCTCATAAACTTTTCTGTTCTTCCTGCATTTCCCTTGGGGGATTTGAACTAAAAACCACCGAGATGCAAAAGCCACGAGTACGACCCCGGTTCTGGGGCAGCGTATGTACCTTTTCCGTGGAGCTGAAGGGGCTGGTGCCCAGAGGTTCGATGAGCAGCGATGAAGGATGCTGTCAGGATGGAAGCACGCCGACGATTACAGCTTTTCCTCTCCCTGCGACCAGATCTTTCAGCAGCTCAGACCAACTGTGCTAGAAATTCACTTAGCAATTATCTGCTGGCATCCAAGCCCCGCCCCCTACTCTTCTCATTGGCTCTCTGGTTCCGGGCAGGTCCGCATTGGCTTTAGCTGGTCTCACTCACTGCTTTGGCTCCTACTATTATCTAAGCCAGCAAAGGATATAATTCCATGTTCCATTGACAACCTGTAAGGCTCTTCTCCGGGCTGGGCTGGGGAGGAGCAGGCTGGGGAGGCTGAGGGGGAGAGAAACGGAGCTATCAGCCGGTCAGGCTCTTGCCCCCCCAGCATTTTAACTTCCCCAAAAGAGAGTCCGTGGCAACAATCCTCTGGCCTTGTCAGTTTTTTCTTCCCCCTAAATGGTAAATATTTCTGAGAGCAGTGTGAGCCCTCAGACTATGGGGAACCTGGCGGGGTGAGCCAAAAGTAGAGAAGGTCTGAACGAAGAGATCTGGGGATTTCCTTTCTAAGTCCACATCCCGTTGTGTGAAGGTCATTTAGGTGACTGTGGGGACATTTTAAGCATTTTAATTGGGGTGTGGGCTCAACATTTTGTTTGCCCATCCCCCACAATACTGCACCAGATAGGCAGCTTAGTGTAGTGAAAAGAGTAATGGTTCTGGAGTCTGGAGATAATCCGAGTTCAAATCCTAGTTCTAACAATTACTAGCTGCATGACCCATAAACAAGGCATTCCACCCCCAAGCCTCAGTTTTCTCATCGTTAAGATGAGGGTAGCAATGCTACCTACAGTGGTTTAGGGAAAGAGCTTTCTAAGCCTTAAAGTGTTACATAAATACAGGATGCCACAAAAATCTTAGGGCAGTTTTAAGCTCTAATAACTTAAAACTGCCCTAAGGTTTTTGAAATATGCTATAAATGAATTGCAACTCCTTCTGGGGGTCAGGCTGGTTATAAGATAAAAGAATATCTTCCTGATGGACTTTTTATAAAGAGAAAACATGAGACTTGCTCCTGCTCTCCTGTCCTCTCCCCAGTGATATTGGAAATGATGGGGATCTAAGCTCTGCTTCTACTAGGGTCCTCATTTTTTTTAAACTAATCTGACCTGAGGATAATATGGAACTTAGAAATTGTCCTCTCAGTAGGAAAAGGGAAAGAGAAAAACAAATTGGAATCCCAAGCCAGAGGAGATGATGGAGAACCCTGGCCTGGGCATCACAAGACCTTAAATCCTCCCTCTGCTACTTGCAGGTACCTATTTGACCTTGGATAAGTCACTCTCTGGGTCTCAAACCCCTCCTTTAGAAAATGAAGGCATCATACGAGAATTATGACCGTTAAGGTCCCTTTCAGATCTTTGTGCCTGGTGGTCACATGCTTTCTTCTGCTTTTCTAGACTTTGGGTTTTATAAAACTGAAAATACATTTGGTACCAATCTTTTATCCATGATATACTTAAGCTCATATTGAAAGGACCTTTTAGCTTCTGATTTTAAAAGATTTTCTTCTTGAGTCACAGGGTTCTTCTGGGAGGAAGAAAGGACAGATTTTTAAAGCCCCTGTATAAATGTATTCATTCATTTAGCAAATATTTTTGAAGCATTTGCTTTATAGAATGCCCCATTTGGGCAGAAACATTTCCTTCTTGTGATGGCTTTTGCATTCCTTTTTGCCCAGCTGAATCCTAACCACTCTCTAAGACCTAGCTCAAGGCTCATATGTTGCCCACCTGCCCCAGCCCCAGCCTCTCTGCTCTCCACTCCTGTTATACTACCTCTCATTTAGCACTTAGGATCTTTTATTGTTCTGCTAGCTATCTCCTTATTTGTATATGTTGGTCTCTAAAATCCTACTTCAGTGCCTCCTAGTAGTGTGGTAGTAACACTGGTTCTGAATGACTATGCCAGCTCCTAATGAACAGCTCAACAGCTCCTACCAGGTAGTAAAGCCTTCAAGTACAAGACAACACAGGACTGTTTATCATCCAAGGGTCAGCCTAGCTAATAATAATAGCTGACACTTATGTAGTGCCCTATACTCTTTACAAAGTGTTTCCCATGCATCATCTACTTAATCTTTACAATAGAAGTAGTTAGGGCAGGTATTATCATTCCCCTTTGCCAGATGAGGAGACTAAGGGTCAGAGATGTCAAATGTTTTGCATAAGATTACCCAGTTAATCAACAATAACACTGAGATTCAAATCTAGTTCTGTGGATTACAGTAGCAGTCTTCTTCCCATGTTCAGGAAGGTTCATCACTGGACTATTGACAACTAAGCAATGACTTTATTCAAATTTATTTTTGTCACAGTAACTTAATATGCCATCTATCAAATTGTGGAGAGGTTTTGGCTTGTGTTGGTGGTAGAATTCCCATTATGAGGAAATCATACATCTTTTGAGATTGTTGTTACATTTCTTATTTTTCTAACTAGACTATAAAATTCTTCAGGATAGAACTATATCTCATACTTTTTGGGCCCTTTGTAAACTCAAAAAAAATAGTGATAGTAGTAATAAAAAGAAGAGGGGAAGAAAGAGGCAAAGGTTACACCCTAATAATTTTTTATTCAATTAAAAAAAACAGCAGTTGTATCCACTTATACAACAGACCATAGAGCATTGAACATAGAAGAATAATAGTAGGATAATGATTTGCCCCAGGACTTTTTCTATCTTAACCCCCCAAAAAGATAAGAACAAGATCACACCAGTCTGTAGTAACAATAACAACCATAATCGTGAAAGAAAGATTAAATATAAAGAAAAGTTATCCTTAAGGATATCAGACTTGTTGACTGATACAGATTAGGTAATAAAGTGGTAGAAATTCTGCAACATAATCACTGCAAGTCATAGAAAAATTATTATCTTCTAGGGACCTAGAAAGATATATTTAGATGTTCCAGGAGTTACCTATCCTTTGCAAACTAACCTATGTCAATCTATCCCTCCCTAAAACATATGTATAGATAGATAGACAGACACAGACAGACAGACAGATAGATAGATAGATAGATAGATAGATAGATAGATAGATAGATAGATAGATAGATAGATAGATAGATAAATTAAAAATTTGGCTCATTACAGATAGACCTGCTGCCCAGGATTGCCCAGATATGACATTGGTTGGTAAGAATTTTTGAACAATACTTTGATAGATATTGCCATGCTAATTATCCATAATCTCCAAACTACATGAAATAAAAAGCTTTTAAGATATAGAAATCTAATAGAAAAAATTACAATCATGTAAGAACATGATAAGGTGAGTCATTTCTTATTTCCTTTTCTAACGGAGCTGTTCCAAGGATACTTTCAGTGAGCCTAGAAGATGAGTCTATATACCAATGTTCCTATTTAGTTACAAAAAGCAGTGATATCCATCAGCACAATAATCCACAAACATTAACTATAAAAGAATAATAACCAGCTAGCAGACCACTCTCTAAGACTATAGGTTACTAAACAGATGCCAATGCGCATTGGTGGATGGGGTTTCCTCACTGGGAAGCTCCTTATACCGGTAAACTCACAAGTCTGATCCAAAATAAAAGGAGAATAGTAACTTGGTTTTGGACCATCTCTATCTGAAACCCATTAAGATGATGATGATGATGATGATGATGATGATGATGATGATGATTTGTCCTGACTAAGAAATTCCTAGATAGAAAATTCCCTCTCTAAATGCAGATCTACAACTTATAAAGCTTTAGGGAGTTTCCTGAGGAAAGAAGAGGTTAAGTGACTCACCCTGGGTCTCACAGCCAGTACCTGTCAGAGGTGGTTCTCAAGCCCAATTTTTCCTGACTTTGAGGCCAGTCCTCTATTATGCCTTGCTGCCTCTAATGATAACTAACATCTATCTACCTCTTTAAAGTGTGCATGATGTGTTCTATGCATTAGCTTATTTGAACCTTACAACAACCTGAAGTAGATACCACAGGTATTTATTATCATCATCGTGATTAGGCAAGTGAGGCTGAGAGTGTTAAAATGATTTGCCCAGGGCCACATAGCTGCTAAGTGTCTGAGGGGAGATTCTAGCCCAAATTTTCTTATCTCTAAATCTCTCCACTACACTGCACTGCAATTGAAATATGAAGTGTGACTTTGAGCCTGATAGAAACATCATTCAACTGAGGATCCTCAGGGGCTGGGGGGTTGGTACAGTGAAAAGAATGCCAGTCAGAGAATTTGGGCTGGGGCATCATGAAGTCCTGAGAGCCAGAGAAAGTCCCTTCATTATCCCTGTGGCCTCTATTTCCCATCTGGAAAATGAGAAGCCCTGACATTTCACAGTTCTAGTTTGCTTATAATACTAAGAAGAAATGAAAGAATAGAATGTGGGCTTTCAGTTCTTTTCAAATACATGCTGGACAAACACACCATCCCTAACTAAATAGCTGTCCAGATGACTACAGAGCTGTCTCTTTGACTTCTACCTGTAAGAGAAAGCAAATCTCCCAATATTCTGTCTTCATCTCCCTCCCTCAGGCATCCCTCAAAAAGGAAGGAGAAAACAAAGTTAATCTGAACTCATACAGAAGACACAATTGTTCCCAAAAGAAAGGAAGTACTTTTCTAAATGAGCCAATCTTTGGATTGGCTTTTTATCTTCTGAGATTAGGAAAGGAGAGAGCTGCAAACAGTTGTTTATGCCAATGCCTTTTAAATTGCCTGGTCATAAAGTATTCTTTTTGAGAGAAGGATCATCCTTTTGTGTCCCATAGATCAATTGCTTAATTCTGAAAGTTAGAGAATGCATATTAAGTGCCCAGGTTCCACTGGCACTTGCATTTGTATTAAATATCAGCTCCATACAATTTAAATTCATTGGGGTATGAAATGCATTTCACCAAATTCCATTCTGTGGGCAGTGCTCTGGTGAAGTAGTTCATTTTGATTAAATGGTTTTACTGCATTCTTCATTTGAGGAGCTTTTGAGGGTCAGGAAGAGGAGAAGAGGGTCATGTTCTGAGTAATGAAAGAAAAGCTGTGTTTCCTTATTAAAACACAAAT